ATCAGTTACCAAAGAAGAATGTTAAAATATTTCAAGAAAATACAATTTTCTTATCAAAGTGATAAAATGTTGTGTTGCAAAAATGAGTACACCCTCCTGAAAGTTACTAAATAAAACTAAAACAAAACATTCTGGTGTAAGGTTAAGGCAAGTATTGATAAACAGGTAAGTATGTTGAACCAAAACTGTTAAAGGTAAATAATTTCTTGATAAATAAGTGGCCCATTAGGCCCACTGAATCATACTCAGACTTAATGCTGACAACAGTGAAACCACTTGAGAGAGAACTGTCAGGGCATTTATTTCTTAGCATAAAAGAGGACATCACACCAGAACTACCGACTGTAGCAAAAGCACAATAAACTTATTTAGCTTTTTCCAAGGCCCATATTTACAAAATAGAGACTTCTGGCCTTGCATTGTTGGGCTTTTTTTTTAACATGACAATGAATATATTCGTTCTCCCAAGGTGAAAATCCTTCAGTGGACATGTATTTCACTCAATCTTAACGCTCTTGAGCAGCTGTGAGAAAATCTTATAACAGACTTTTTTGGTATTGGTATTGAAAAGTATGCTTGTGTGTGTGATACACACACACAAGCATACTTTTCAATACCAATACCAAAAAAGTCTGTTATAAGATTTAAATGCTAAAAAAAAAAAACGTACAAATATATTATACAGTGTTACATTATATAATACTCTAACATTTTCCAGATGTGAAACCATTAGTGGATCATGTTATTATATGCCTTACATATTCAAATACTTTTAGGCTACTGTATGCACACAAATGCAAACAAATCAAAACTAAATATCAGACCTTACAGATACTGTCATCAAACGTCAAAGCAGATCAGTCACGAATCATGCAGCTCAAAATTTAACAGCATTCCTTCTGAGACAGAACAGTGTTGAAATGCACACATGTGTGTATGTGTATGAAACGTGATTTGCATGTTGAAACATGCAAATGACTTTTATGTCAGCTTCCAAGCGTTTTTTTAGTTTATAGTTTTTTTTCATTCTTTCCCCATTAGTATAATCGGCATGTGCTTGTTTGCTACCGAAATTCCAAAGTTACACTGTCATACCATAAGTTTTACAGCATGCTCATCATAAAGGAAGAAATTACACCAAAAGAGATAGTATATAGTAAGCAGTATAATACAGTAAAATAACAGTTCCACAAAATGCATAAGATGCAAAACAGACATATCCAATTACCTTCGGATATCCTCGTTCTCTCACTATTGTCCCTCTGACCTGCACCAATACAGTCAGACCAAACAAGCATGAACTCCACTCGCTGGAGCACAAACACTCATTATAACAAACCTCTGACAGCTCACAGGAAGCTAGAACCAGTAATACCAGAAGTAGGGAGGTGACTCCAGGGCTAAACAAACACAGAGGCATGGCAAGTCAATGGGAAGCGTGTGGCTACCTATCCTGTTTCTAGAAAATCCATTTCAAAAGAATACCATTGAATCACGATAAGCTATAGTGGCTTACATAATAGGGAAGCATCTGGACTACAAGTCCATTTAATTCAGTCTGACATGACCAATGTGAACTTATACAAAGACATTAATGTCTTTCTTCATCTTATAATGGAGTTAATGTTTTAAATGTCGGGATAGGAGACCAAACATCCCAGTTTCATGAGGTGTGTCCCATTATCCAGTCAATTCGCTAAATCCATTCATTATTAAACATTTTCCAGATGTTAGACTACTACTCGTTGTCCTTGTAAATATAATATTATTGCAGAGAACACAGCAAAGTAATAAATAAAAATAAATAAATAATGCATGAAAGTTACATGAAATAGCAGAAATATTTAACTTAAAATGTTTAATTAAACTTTAGTTAAAAAAATATTAAAAGTAATTAATAAATAATAATATATTAAAATAATTTAATAAAGTTTATTTTTATTATTATATTGGGAAAAAGTTGTTATAAGTTAAAATAATTGTGCAATTTATGCATAAGAAAAAAAAACATAAATAAAGATGGACACTAGAACCTGCGATACTCACATGAGCACCACAGCAGAATGCGTCTTAAGCATATGAATGGAAAAAAAAATGCAGATGCCAACATGGTTGAGTGCCATTTATTCATACTCATAAACCATGAACAAAACAAAGCCAGATAACAAAAGACATGAACCATGATCTTACAGTAAATGCGGGTTCACTTGAATGATAAACACAGCTTGTGACTATCACAGTCTGTTTTGTGTTGAATTACTGGCTGCTGAGAGTCAACAGATATTACAAAATTTAGAAGCCATTTAAGAATGCATTTATACAATTTTATATTTTTTATTCAGTCTATGTAATTGCAATTTAATAAATACATTAATTTTTAAAAAATCCTATATTATAATTGAAAATAGATATTGAATTAAAATGCAATCGAATGAATTAATAAATAATCTAATAAAATAATATAAATGTAATAATCATATAGAACACTATTTAGTAAATTTTCATTTTAAGGCCTTTTTCTACAATAACTTATTCTAAATACCATTCAGGACTGTGTTGTTCACCAATTCATTTCTCCCGAATGGCCAGACCTGCTGCCATTTTTGCACATCTATCCATTCACATATAATTTAGTCAGCATAGCATTTTTAATGCTAACTGCAAAATTTTGTAAAATGCATCAAGTGTTTCTATCAGCAAGCAGTCATTTAGGATGGCAGGATGGAGAGAGATGATGGAGGTGAGAAAGAGGGAGAGAGAACGGGAAGGAGCTCTTAATCTGTGCCTCACAGCAACGCAGTGAAAGTTTGGAAGTATCTGGGACATACAGGAAGAGAGTGACGGAACCTCCCATTCATCTCGCTACCATTCAGAAGCATCCTGGGCTGTCAGCACTCCTGCACAGCACCTTGTCTGCTTTAATCATTTTAATAACACACAGCCAGAGAAGAGAAGACTCTCTTATGCAACTACTGAAACATTTCCATACTACTGTACGCAAGTCCACATTAAGATGTAGAGATATTGTAATCTCTGTCTTGGTAGAGGAAAAAAAGACACCTAAAAATGAGATACTACCCTGAGGTAGGGCAAAGCTTAGTCTGATTAAATGATGTTAGTTTATGAAATGTGTGGTAATATAAAAACCTTACTGCAAAATACATGTAATTAATTTATATTATAGTCCTTTCCCAAATGCACAAAAGGTTAGCTTTAAGAGATTTAGAAGGACAATTTAAAGGAATAGTTCACCCCAAACTTTTAACTTCAAACCATTGCTTCTGGACAAAATATGAGTCCACAATACATAATAATGCTTCTTACAGTGAAAAGTCCATGCACTGTTGTCCTCTCACATCAAAATCCACCAACATATTTGTTTAGAACTGATTTAGACTGTTTTTGCTTTTAAATGGTGCTTGATTTGTGCATACTTCTCTCCTGATTGAGATGACTTTTTCATTGGAGAAAGCAATATTATGGATAGACGTGTTTCTTACAAACAGCTTTTCGACTTCACAAGATTACTTGTGGATTATTGTGATGTTTTTATCAGCTGTTTGGGCTCTCATTCTGACGGCACCCATTCACTGCAGAGCATCCATTGGTAAACAAGTGATGCAATGCTAAATTTCTCCAAATCAGTTCCCATGAAGAAACAAACTCATCTACATTTTGGCCTAAGAGTGAGTACATTTTCATCAAATTTTCATTTTTGGGTGAACTATCCTTTTAAAAATCAACAACAACAACTTCATTTATGATATAAATACGAATATATTAATGACAAGCACTTTTCAAGTTCCTGATGATACATTCACTACAAGGTGGAAGTCGTCCAGATATAATATTTTACAATCTGATTTGGCCTATTTCCAAATATAATTAGTATCAGATTTGGTGTTATGCAACATCATCAGATTAAATATGTAAATAAATAAACAGAAGAAGACTACTGTTTTCATTTAGTTCCAGTAGCTTCTAAAAAAAACAATGAGTATGTGAAGACATCACAAGAAAGGAACTTTAATTAATAATGGTCCAGATACTTTGATTTGATGATAGACACACGTTACTTAGAGACAAGAATGCGAACTGTGAAAGCAGAAATATCAGATCTGGCTTGAGGTTATGAAACCTGACTCTTTAAAAGAAACTCTTAGTTTTATTTCTTCATTTGATGGGTCTGCACTGTCTGTGTACACAAAACAAGACTATGACTAAGAAATGAATGTTTTGTCTGTATCAGGAGGCCAGAATCAGATCTCATAAACGTTTGGTTCAAATGTAAAGAAGTACGGGTGATAAGAATGGGCCTTTCATAGGATCCTCCAGGACTGAGTTCCAGAGAAGATGTTCAGTGCTGCACAGTAGATGTTTAGGTGCTGCTGTGTTTCAGATAAGAGTGCTTTATGCATAGCTAGAGAACAAAAAGAAAGTGATGGTTAGCTTTGAACTCAAAGCTTCTTGTTCTACGATGGAATTAAGATAATCAGCTGTACAAATCTGGATGCCAGCATTCTGCCCCAACTCACTGAGCATTTCGTTGTTGATTTATCCCATTCATTTTTTTTTTTATTATTATCTTCACAACATGTTATGACCGCCGCAGCAGATAAACAGGAAATCACTGCCTATTAATCAAATTCACGCAAGACTCAAGAGTTAAAACCAGATGTGTCTCCACAGCACTGAAGAGAACGATAAATTCAGTGCATAAAATATTTAATATGGTATGCATTATGTTCTAACCAGGGAATATCCACTTTTTTATATTAAATAGCTCCAATAACAACAATAAAAGTCTTATAAAAGTAGAAATATGATCATGTAGAAATAAGAATGTGGAATGAAGCAAAGATTACTGAAATCAAGCGTAGCGTTAGTTCTGGCAGGTCACGTTAGTCAAGCTCGCATCAGCTGACTCTCAGCTGATCCCCATCAACCTATGGGAATATGACACCTATCTAAGCATTCATATATAAGGTCCCTCAGTATTATCAGCAGTTTTCGCATTGCTCAATAGCTAATTACCCTCCTCCATCCCCAGCTCCTCCTCTGTCAGTCGGGATTCAGTCTTCTGATTTTTTTTTTAATCAGACTAATTCTAAAATGTGTACTTAACATTATTGAACTTTAACGATATCTGCAATACATTTATGTTGGTTCTGGTCTGTTTACCCTGGGGGGGTTATCGCTACTCTCCCTGCTCTTATCCATGCTAGGCTGCATGGATGCGCAGGGAGTTCTTGCCCAGAACAGAACCATACCGCCAATCCAAACTGTATGCTAATTGTCAATCATATTTGACGATAGTGATCCTGACAGAAGTAGGCTTTCAAAATTTCACTTCAGAATTGAATGTGTAATTCAATGTGTTACTTGCTGTGTCTTTATAATTATCACATTATTACACAAAGTATGTTAAATAATAATAATAATAATAATTTATATTCTAATAATTTCTATAATTCTAATAATTATTAAAAACTCAATATTAAAATCATAAATATTGTGCATTCTTTTTCTTGGCCTCTCAGTAGAATATAAATTGTTTTCATCTCAATAATAAAAATAATCATAATTGTGTTTACATGCATAATTATATATAATTCTATAAACACAGAATGCAGTTATTAATAAATAACTGCATTAATATAATTGTGCCACATTAACTATAAAATTCCCATTTTGCAGTTTCATTCTGGTTTAGAATTGACAAACGAGTGGTTATATATAACTTCATATAAATTCCAGAAATACCTTAGGTGCCTTAAAAATACCTATAATGACCAAAAAATAGCATATTATTGTAGCCCTTCCAAGAATGCAGTTTGATGTAGTTTCTCTGACTAGCCAGGAAGAGAAGGAAATTGTGTGTTACAACCTACCATAAAGGGTTAATGCTGATTAACCACAAGATTAACATTTAGTGACTTCTCTACTAAAAGCAACTACTAAAACCCCCTTGCACCAATATAACCTTCAAGCACTTAAGAAATAGAGCTGCATTTCCTTGTCTCTGCCAAAGGCGTTTAGGTGCCTGTTTACCAGGGGCCACTAGGGCCCGTCTATGTCAGGGCCTTGTTGGCCACTAGCTGGCTGCACTAATGGCTGCCTATGTGAGGAATTACACCATGCCATGACATGGGAACTCCTTGAAAATGTGTCGGGAACCAGCCGCATTTGCATTTTAGAAACGCATGAATGAGTGTGTTTGTTCTAGTCTGGGTGGTTTGCTGAAAGACCCCATTAACAGCAGGTCTAGAAGGACTGCAGAGTGTCAGGTCAGACCCAAAGTGAGAGAGGG